GTATGTTACGTACACTGCATTGATAACGAACGTTTGTTAATCACAGATGCATTCTGGAAACAGATACCTGGCATTTCCCTCCGTGATGTCAGCATAGGACAAGCCGGGGTCTGGGGATGCACAGATAATGGTACGATCTGGTACAGAACTAATACACGTGTAAGTTGTAAATTAAGATTCCGTATAAAATAAAAAATATTAATATATCACATGATATCAATGTGACATAATATAATATAATATAATATAATATAATATAATATAATATAATGTAGCGTTGGCGTCGACGTGTAAAATTTTTGTAATGTGGAAATAGTATAAATCATGCAGCAAAGTTCTCTGAAAGTTTGAATTGGTTTATTTTGACTGACCTAGCAACAATCAGCTACCTAGCAGAACAAGATGACGTCACCTAGCACAAACTGCGTGGTTAGGCGAGCCGGTCAATTACACTCGATGTTTAGTGCCGCGTAACAGTAACAATAACGGCTAAACATGGTGGAGAACACGACAAACTATTCACCACGCAGCTAACCTGCCACTAGTTGAATAACTGTTCTATATCTATATTTCTTTAATGAAACACGGAACACGGTCTCGGTTTGGCAGTAGAACTGAAAAAAAGCCCTTTTTCGGCTTCCTTGGATTATCGCCCGACGCTGACAGCGTCGCTACGGTCTTGTATGCGCCAGCCGCGTAGAGGCTAGCTCTACCCTAGATACGATTATAAATGTGTACAATTATAATTATTGTTATAATTATATTATGTTACAATTATAATCATGTATCCCAATAATAATTTAACCCCACTCTGCTGGGTACCCGCACGCGGTGCGCATTCGGCGCGCGTAATGCGCACCGTGTGCGGGCTGGCGTGCTCCGAATGCGCGCGCAAAATATCGATCGTGTTTGATTTTTCTGGCTCGATGCCGAATGCGCACCGTGTGCGGGCTGGTTTACGTGCGCAAATGGTTTATTCCCATTTCGCCATTTTCCCACTTCGCCATTAAAAATTCCCACTTCGCCATTTGCCATTTCGCCAGTTTCCCGTTTCGCCATTTTCCCATTCCGCCATTTCGTCCTATCTCCCCGACCACCCCCTTGTTTAAGGTGGGTTAAAAGTAGGCCTCTGTAATTAATACATTTTAACGAATCTTTAGATATGGAGTCAATTATTTATTTGAAGAACAAGAAGGCGAAATCGTACATATCAAAACATATGGATCATGTACAGGCACCCTAACCCTAACCCTAACCCTAACCATAACGACCTAGAAATGACTCTTTTTTAAGAATGGAAGGATCAATTTCTTGCAGGGGGTAGAAGCAACATATAATATTGGCGAAATGGGAAACTGGCGAAGTGGGAAAATGGCGAAATGGCGAAATGGGAAATTGGCGAAATGGGAAAATGGCGAAGTGGGAAAATGGCGAAATGGGAAACTGGCGAAATGGTTAATGGCGAAATGGCAAATGGCGAAGTGGGAAAATGGCGAAATGGAAAGACACCGCACAAATGGCGCGCGCGTTTAGCTCAGCGCCGTTGGCGCGCGCCGAATGCGCACCGTGTGCGGGGGTCTTTACAGTCGTGTATCTAGCCATAGCCGAGTAGCTCTTCGCTCCCGTTATAGGACTATATACGAACAGCGATATGATGGAAAACGGCAGTGAATCTTTGCAAAACAGCAGGCGCTGACTCGTGCCCGCTCACTTTAGTGTCCCCGCTATTTAAATCCGACATGGCGACGTAGAAATGTTTTTGATTCGTTTGCGATTGATAAACGGCTTATCGAGCAAAATTACGGCGAGTTGAGTTTGATTTTAGCGACATCGGCTAAACTCAGGACGATTATGTCGTTGGCTACCGGATTTTTTCTGTTGTATCACGGACTCATAAATCAACAGATCAACTTGATAAATCAACAGACCATGCCGCAGGGACTCACTGCTGTCGTTTCCCCCTCGTTGTTGTTCATATATCTCTGTAGCGGCAGCTAGCCGATGAATGTTCGTTTTGCAGAACAATGGTGGGAAAGCCGGATCCGAGTGGCAAGTGTTAAACGGACAAGCGCATCTAATAAGCTCCGGCTTCAACGCATTGTGGGTCATCAACCTTAAAGGTTTTCTAGTCTTTTATCTACATGGTATATATATTAATTTTTCATCTCTAATGATACACGATGTATATTATGAGATGAAGGTTATAACGCTTGTGTATTTTTTGGGTAAGTTAATTCTGTACAAATGCTTCAGTTTTTGAAGACGAAACGTGATTTTCTTGTGGCACGGTTCGTCTGCGTTATGGCATAACATATATAATAGCTCATAACATATATATGCGGATCATTGCAGGCATATCTGATGCGAACCCGATAGGAACTGGTTCCTGGCCCTATGTAGGCGGTCCCCTCATTTGGATCCGTGTCAATTCCGTCAACAACGAGCTGTGGGGCTTAACCGATCGTCAGGAAGTTGTCCGCCGTCTGGGTATATCCGCGACCGATCACGTCGGTGTGGGCTGGTCAGGCGTAATACAAGAGGCGATCAAGGTGGTGTCCGTTGGTCAGGCAGGAGTCTGGACAGTAAATAGTACGAACGTTGTCTTTTACAGAATCGGCACCGGCAACGGAATCGGAGGTGAAGGTACGTGATTAAGTTCGAGTTTATGCACGCTACAAACAGAAAGTGACCTCGTGGTAATTAGTTGTTTTTAATTAGTGTTAATTAATGATGAGTTATTTATAAGTGTAGATTGGGCGATATATTGTATTGGTATGTAAATATCGGACGTTACGTCGTTGTGTGTGTAGATCTGTGTGTAACGCGTAGTGTGTAATATGATATGTGTGCCGTGTGTGTAGATCTCGAGTCAAACACGGAAAAGAAAAAAGGCAAGTATACCGCGATATAAGCAGCGTCAATGGTTGCCGACGCGGTGGCGCCGGCGGCGGTGGATGGTGTCTGTCACTGCTTTCCCCGCTCGTGCGCGGCGGGTTGGGAAACCCCCCGATGAGTCATCGATCCTTACACGCAGGGCATTCGTTATTATAACAGATGTTCATATTTAGTTGACTGGCTAATAATAGTGTTCGATGGGTGTATTGTTCGATGAGTATATTTCCGCACAGGTACTGGCTGGGAACTGGTGGATGGCTCACTGAAGCAGGTTTCCTCTGGTGATGGTGTCGTGTGGGGCGTGGATGAAAACAACAATATATTCAAACGCACCGGTATTTGCACCTAGTGATTTACGCTCTCGCATAATTCTTGTAGGCCCTAGTAGTTCTTACTTCTATAATTCTTTCGAACAATATTCCGACTTCAAATAGATTTGTAATACAATGATAAATTCAGTAACTAGTATATCATTTTCCAGTTCGTTTATAAATGAACTATTTTGTCACCACCAGGTATAAATGATACAAATCCGACTGGAACAGAGTGGCAGCCTATTTCCGGTACACTCAGCAAAGTGAGCGTGAGTTCAGCGTCGAACTTCGTGTGGGGACTGGACGGTGACAGTGTATATCAACGCATGTTCTAACATGTACAAATACCTTCAAATTGTATTGTTCGTAGTCGTTGCCCTTCAAATATTCTTGGTACGTGCTTAGCACGTATGAATACATTTAAAATAGAATAACAACGGTAGTTATAGCTGTATATATACAATGCTGGCTATTGGTCAGAGAGCTATAGCCTGGTCTGCAGCTTAAAAACAACTTAAAAAAAATAATGTATCTATATGTACGAAACAGAGTCGATATTAGTGACACGATATAAAAATCATGGAACCTTCTTCAAAGTCAGTTCTTGGCGAGGCTATACATTTCACATCGAAGTTCTAAACGTGGTATAATACTTTTAACATATTTTATTAGACGTGTGCATATTAGTAGCGCGTCGTCTTGGCAGGTGTGAATAGATAGATCGTTCCCGTCGATGTTTACCTGTTCATATAGATATTTGAAAAGTCAATCAGTGCTTTGTGTCAGAGTAAATGATGTCTGTAAGTAGCAGTTAAATATGAACTTATCCTCGGACGTGGTGCTGGTTCATGGGTATCATCGGCCTGGAAACCAGCCGACATTATATGATGTATATGCACAGATAAAAACTCCGTGGCCGTGAGAACTTTGCTGTAAAGATTTACTCGTATTACATGTTATACAGGACTATATAATATCATCGCTTATAGTAGATCGTATCGTCTCAATGTTTTGATTATATATATTTATAATATTATGATATTATAATATATTATTATATATAATATTATATTATATGTATAATATACATAATATATATTATATATGATATAAAACAATAGTCAAGGTATAGAATTAAGGGTTTTTTAAAGTTTAATTGATCGAGCTTTCGAGATACATCTCTTCATTCAGGTCAGCAGACATTGAATCGCATCAAATGAATCAAAAAGCAATCAATGCGTTATAGTCTAATCAAAAATGAATGATTCACACAATTCGCGTGTTGCCATGAAGATCTTTTGGTTAAATAATGGTCAAGCAACCGGAAAACCATAGTAAACTTCTGGTAGTATGACGCGAGTCAGCGCCACTTATGGCGCTACACAGCGGGATACCGGAAAAGCTAACTGCAACTGGCCATCACTTCGGAGTGGGTCGGAGCGAACTAATGTTTCGTCGGTGTTCAGCGAAATACCTAAGATTTTCACCGCCGCTCATTTATCTCAGCGTATGGTCATCGTAGGACATTGCGGTTTGTTTTTATATTGAAAATGAAGGACAGCTTGATCAATAAACTGGCAAAAAAACCAGGGAACAGTGTATTAATTCGACTTAATACTTGTAACACTGGTTGCAGCATTTTTACCGTTGTACTGCTCTCCTTCTTTATATTGCTTCTTTGATATCACTGCACTATACTCTGAATAAAAATAATATCTGGCTGCGCGCTGCTGCTTTCGTTCATACCTGCTGAATATTTGAACCGGCGCTATACACTGATCGCGTACATAAAATTCTCGAACATGTGAAGTGCGAGGCATACGCACCACGTGTGCTAGGGTGGTTAATAACAAGATGAAGCACCGACAACGGCAATTGAGAAAATAAACAAATGCTGATTTATTATTAAGAGAGATGAGCGTTGGCCAAAGGAGTTTCACTCAGAAAATACAAGTCGCATCTTTGCATCGCTCCGCCCGCTCGCACCTTAGCGTAAAGAATAACCTTGTTTTATTAATTAGGGCAATTCGCACGGAGAGACCGCTGTATTTTATTGCTGCTCTTCGAACAATGAATGCGAACTGCGACGTGACTTGTTGCAATGCAGAACACAATTCCTAACGCGGGCGAGGAGAGTGGCGCCCCAGATGAGAGAGAGAGATGAGATGAGAGAGAGAGAGATGAGAGAGAGAAGAGAGAGAGAGGGAGAAGAGATGAGAGCAGAGAGAGAGAGAAGTAGAGCGACGAGAAGAGAGGTGACGCGCGTGGTGGCATTTAATGAGTTGTGCACGTGTATAGTCTACCGCTTCGATCAATTACGAGTGACCGCGCACAGCATCAAGACTGTGTGTGTGTGTATGTGTGTGTGTGTGTGGTGTGTGTGTGTGTGTGTGTGTGTGTGTGTGTGTGTGTGTGTGTGTGTGTGTGTGTGTGTGTGTGTGTGTGTGTGTTGCGTTGCGTGTTGTGTGTGTGTGTGTGTGTGTGTGTGTGTGTGTGTGTGTGTGTCGTGTCGTGTGTGTGTGAGAGTGAGTGTGTGTGTGTTGTGTGTGTGTGTGTGTGTGTGTGTGTGTGTGTGTGTGTGTGTGTGTGTGTGTGTGTGTGCGCGCGCGCACGCTGCCACGTGCCAAACCTCCGTCGGCTTCTTGCCAAAGCACGAAGATCGGAGCAGAAGTTCGTTATGTTTATACGACAGCATTGATGAAGGCACGCGTAAACGCAGCGAAGCAAATGCATATTAGTAGGTCTCAGGGGAGAGATAGTGATCCGTGAGATGGCGCTTTACTAGTGTATTGTAGCTGCAGAAATCAGTTATCCCTAACCCTAACCCTAACCCTAACCCTAATCCTAACTCTAACCCTAACCCTAACCCATACCCTAATCATAACCCTAACCCTAACCCTAACCCTAATTCTAAAATAAAACAAAATTAGCCAAAAATAATAAAATTAATTAAGAGAGAAAATTAGCCAATCAGAGCCGTCCCCTAGCGGATCACTATCTCTCCCTTGTGCAAAATTTAATGCATATAATACATTATAAACGCACGCACGCACGCACGCAGCGTATAGAGCGAGCGATTTCACGGCACCCGGCAGTTAGATGCGATATGATATGACTACTAGGCACTTAGGATATGACTACTAGGCACTTAGGATATGACTACTAGGCACTTAAAAAAAAAACCCTACCCCTAACCTTAACCTAACCTAAACCCTAACCCTAACCCAAAAAAAAAAAAAATTAAATTAAATTAAAGTGCCTAGTAGTCATATCATATCGCATCTAACTGCCGGTTGCGATTTCACGCGTTGCCGCGATATGCTACCAGCAAGGAACCGGATACGCGAGATAAACGAAGATGAGAAAGAGCAAGCGCGAAATGATGAAGGCAAGGACAGCGGAGAGATGGGAAATGATGATAGTAAGGCACCTCCTGACGAGATGAACACGACGGCGAAATGAGAAGGAAACGTTACAGAACAAGATTACGGAAAAGGCGCAAGCCGGTGAAAATGACAGCGTACAAGTAACGAAAACCTTCATCATTTTATATTCTTAAATATGCCATCGATTCCCAGTAGGAGGTCAGATGCGTATCTGTATGCAGTATATACGGATATTTAACTGGCTCGCTGTTTACCTGAATATATCCCTAAAGATTGTATTCAGTTATTCAACTATCTTATGAAATAAATATCGTTCAAATGTCAAATATCTGGCAATTCATTATTATCGGAGGGGGCTAAATTCCCGGATAAGTAAAGCGAGTAGGGCACAAATTTATGCTGATCAGATGATGTTCATGCTAGCTGATTGCAGTTATATAACGTCAAGCTAAATCCTGGAAAAGCTAAATCCTGGATTTTTTTTTCGGTGAGATCGCTCACTTTATACGCAGGAATGTGCTCGAGATCGCTGTGTTATGTATGCCATATGCTAATGGTCATGTATAACATTAAGCGAAAAAATAGATTAGCTTTAACGATTAAGCGAACAGTCACGACCAAGTGACCGGTGGTCGGTAAGGATCGGTATTCGGTTTCAAAAAAATGTAGGTTACGGAACATAAATTTTAATCACGAAGTCAGGCACTGGCAATCATTCGAAGGTCACTCGCATCAGGTATACGTCGTAATTAAACTCGTACAAAAAACAGTTTTACATTTAAATAGTTTACGGCTCTTCTCACCTTCGGTTCCGCTGCAACGCTCGTGAGATTGAAGAGATCTTGTCTGATTCATCATTCCGACTGCCCAGCAATTCATCTTTAATATTCGCAGAATAAATTTTTTCTTGGGTGTGGTTGATCACGATTACAATAGAGGGGCGTGGCGTCTTCTGAACCGCGATGCTACCCCCTATACACAAGAAACGGTCTAGCAACGTGAGGAATTCGTTGCTGCGCTGGTGATATATCGCGTACGTGTGAACTGGTAGGCATCAAGCATAATGAGTGTAATTGAGGGCAAGGAACCATCTCGTCGGTTCTGCTATATGCCGTCGCTGTATCGACCAACATAGAGTGAAGAGTTCAGACATCTTGAATTGATCTCGCGTACATACGCTGAAATGCTTAAGCGGCACATCCATGAACCCGAACTGGATACGCGGGTGCGTTTCTGCTATTACAATATACTATATATCAAACGGTATCGGGGAATTAAATGTTTTCGATGTTAGCATTAATAATAATAATAATAATAATAATAATAATATTATTATTATTATTAATATCAAAAGGTACTGTTTTCCCTGTTATAGTGAGGGCATCAATAACGGTATGGAGGTAAAGCTGAGCGAAAGTGCATTTATCTATGAGGTCTACCCATGTTATTAATAATGTATAGCGGTCATCGAAGCTGCCACATTGGTTGTTTTTCCTCCTCTGAGATTGCAATTGAAATTGAATATTTTATGATTGGGCAGTAGCCTACACCACGAGGAGCGGTGAGCTAGGGTCGATTATTTATTAGCAAATGTTACTTACTGACTGTTTTAATAACGCCATTACACGTTACGAATTCTGCCGTATTTCTCCTACATAGCAACCCCACCATATTATTGTGAATAGTTGTACTGAAATAGTTTGCCCCATTCACGAAGGAATTTAAAAATGAGTTTAAACATTAAAAATATGTATATCTAAAATCAGTATAGGTACGTAATCAGGCTCAACTAAAAAATAATTACAGGAATATGCACATCTTTAGCAGATAATTACCCCACTAATGATTGCCAGTAGTTCAGCTAATGACAGGACATGAATAAGTTCGCGACACCGCATGCAGGTAGATCCGTACGCTGAGCGCAGTCTAACGCGCGCGCGCATGCGCCGCAAATTACCGTAAATATTTATAACCAACACATGATCAGTAATTGTTTGCTTACTCAGCTGTCGAGAGTTTTCGTGAGATCAGTGGCTTTAGAAAAGCACACGCGGTGCCACGCGCTGCTGAAGGGATGTGTGCACCGCAGGTGCGGCGCTCGCCCCGAGCGAGACTCACTGACTGTCTCTGTTTCTTTGCCTTCTATACACAATCTTCGCGAACTTCTGATACGTGGTATGCCGTATACCTACGCCCACCACGCGGCTGTAACTTACCGATGGAAGCAGTACATACATGATAGCTGAAAACAATAGGGAAACATGCGCAAACGGATGCTTGGCCGATGCTATACAGTGGTGAATCAGCTAACATAAATGCTGAGATACGTAGCCATTGTAGAGGAAATATCGCGATATATATTATCAGGAGTAGATAATAGAAGAGGAGTATGACAGGCTAGAAACACAAGAAATTCAACATTTTCATACTCGTATTTATCTATGATTGATTAAGTGAAATCTTCTATTATATACTCCTGATATTATTTATGTGACTACACCAAGTCTTATATATATATAGGGGAAGCGAGAGAAGGAATGATATTACACACTCGCGTGTGGACATGCATTGACAGCCTAAAAGCACTCTGCTTTCGCATCGCTTTCGAAAGTTGTCGTTATTGCACCGTTACACGTAAATCAGGGATGAATAACGACAAATGGTCATTATTCATTATTCACCCTTCACGTAAATCTATCTCTGTTCGAACGCAGACGACAGCAGTCTGCGCCTATGCGTAATTTGCGAAGAAATTAAGGCCAACGTCTATATACCCCGTCCTGACTAACTCTGTCGGTGACAGTCTGTAAAGTAACTTGGCCAGTCTGATGCACGTCGCCGTTTTTCCTTCAACTTTACGCGTACATTAAAAACGTATCAGAAAAAACACAATCACGATTAATTAGCGTGCAGTGTTCTGCATGTATAAGGTTACCAAATAATATATGTAGCCGCTATGCACTTTATTCGCGAAAAACCGCCGAGTGGTCCCGAGTTTAATTGAACTTTTCTTATTTATGACGACATTTGTTAGCTCATATAATTGTTTATTCGAAGGCTTCCGTCATTAAAGTTTTTTTATTTGACTTTGCCGTGATGGAAAAGCGTCTGCTACAATAAGAGCTTTCATAAGAATTAACGTCATCAGCTTTCACAACGCAGAACCGCACTGCACACATATGCCACCGCGCTCGACTGGTGCTTGACACAAGACTATCAACTCTCTCGGATGCATACCGGATCATGTATCAGGCACGATTGCAAAATCGCGCAGGAAAACGCGAACACTCGCGCACCGTCAAAGGCTACACCGCCCGCTCTTCGTGCACTCTCACGTTACCGCTCCGTGGGCGAACGTGTGCAGCAAACCGCTCTCGCGTTAAATTACGCGAACGCAAAAGAATGCGACGAGGTGCAAGTTTGAAGTGTAGCTATTAACGAACACAATGAGTGGTTCGAACAGGCGCGATGAAGTGCACTCGTAACGTGTCTATTAATTGAAAATTCCTCAGACGCAACCTCCTTGTACGCGTAATTTCGCAACGCACGTTCGCTAACGTGTGACGACGCCGCCACGCTTGGAGCAAAAAGCCAAAGACCGCCTTCACGGGGGGAGGAAAAACTCACCAGTCTACTCATAAACTTGTAACAATATCGTGAAATAGTTTGAAAAGGCGGGTATCGGCAGGCACCCACCGGTTGGCTCTGCGACTTCGTCCCGCTTTACGTGAGTGAACGCCATGATAGCATTGCATTTCATAGCTGGCTGTGGCAGACATGTTTGGCCATCGTTAGAGAACCCACACATGTGCACGCTTATAGAAGCAGACGCGAATTGATGTTTTTACCTTCCGTGTCTTGTCCAGCTGCTGAAATCAGTCAGGGATTGCAGCAAATGCCGTCCACGTAATCTCGTGTGTGCCCACGGCGAGCATCAAACGCTTACAACCGCCACCTTCTCGATCGGACGCGGAGAAAAAACGATGCCGCAAAGAGAAGCCATGGTTCAACGCGATTTTAATGGCGGGAATTTTTATAGTGAGCGCAAGTGTGACGAAAAACTGCGCACTCGTTTTCGACATGGCCGCTGACAGTTCTAAACACTTAACGCGGCGAGCGGGAGAAATGCGGATGCAGGCACGTTTGGCTGGCACATGTTGTAAATTATTGTACACGCTTCTTTAAGTGGCTACTGCCGAAGGCGCTTTAGACTGCACCGCGGGGAAAAAATTCTGCGTTGTGTAAGCTACAGGTTTATCACCACTAACCCGCTTTTAAAAGCTCCTTATATTTCGCGAGGGAATGTGCACATATCTAAACACGAGTGATTGTTTCATGAAGTTAAACATATAAGCCTATAATCATAATTAACAGTTAACGAACTTCGTATATATATATATGCGTGCAATGTTAAATTCACTCTAGTCGTTGCAGCCATCCTAGCCGGTCAGAAATTGTCATACGTGAGTGGCGTGAAACTAGAACGACGTGTGAGGAAGAAAGCTCTCAACACAAATATGGGACAAAACGACATAAAAATAAAAAGACGTAAATGCGTACAGAATTAGCAATACGCTATTCTATATATATCCACGTAAAAATTCGCATATCAACACACATTTTTATCCGGCTAGTCAACAACACATTTTATTTGTAACGCGCGGAACATAGGTTTGGTTCAACTCAACATCAAACTCCGTCCAACGGCGCGAGAGAAAATCACGACACATGACAATGAAAGTGTCAATGACACTATAATTCACACAAAAAAAGTACACAAATGAACGAGTGCCAACAAGTCATTTTTAAGTCAGCAACTATCCACCTACATTATATAAAACAATAGTATATATGGGAGAACTAAAACAACAAAATCGAATGAATCTAGATAGTCATTTTCATTTTTGCCAAAAAGTGGGCGTGGCTCGAAAGTAAGAATCTAGATGGCCAATTTCATTTTTGTCAAAAAGTGGGCGTGGCTCGAAAGTAGGTCGACTGGCGTGCTCCAAAATAGGACGTTGAAATC